AAGGTGGGGGCTGGGCTGTTCCAGCAGAATGGCAGAGAGGGAGGGGGCGCTGGGCGTGGGAGGAAGAGGCCGTCCTCACCGGGAAGCAGCCCAGGTCTGCGGGGCAAATGTTTGGCCCAACGCCAAAGCCTAGAGCGCAGAAGCCCAGCCCCCACCTTGTCTGTCCCCCGCAGGGGAACACCGTGGAGCTCCCCGAGGAGGAGAACACCCCCGAGAAGAGGGTGGACCGGATCTTCGCCATGATGGACAAGGTGAGGCCGTGGGGAAGCTGGGCTGACGGGGGAGGGGCGGGCTGGGGGCCAGGCCCTGGGTCCCCACAGGTGCCACTGACCACCTGTGGGCCTGGCTCAGGCAGGCGGCACGGCCTGGGGAGGTGTCCAGTGGCCGGGTGGGCAGCCATCCCCGTCAAGCTCTGTTTTAAGTAAGTTTGCCGGAGTTTTTCTTCCATAAACCACGATTCTCAGCCGTTGTTAGTTGTGCCCCCGACCTTTTGGCATCTGGAGACGTCTGTGGTCATCAGGTAAATGCATAGGATCACCCAGGAAGCGGATTGTTCTGGAATACAGCTGTCACGTGTCTTAAGAAGACCCCGCGATGCAGTATTCTAGGGGCCTCTTTATGAACACATTAGTAATGAGCTATCGCATTGGGCCTAGCCACCCCTCATTTTTGAAGCAATGATACACGTATGCGCTGCCTGCAGCAGCTGTGACGTGCTATGACCTTCCTGTGACCTCCACAGTTGGCAGGGTCACAGGTACCGCTGCTTCGGATGGGGACCCTCACCCAGGTGCGTCCTGGGAGGAAAAGCTGAATTTCAGGGAGAGGATGGTGAAAAGAACCTCATCTTTCCCATCTGAGCTCGCAGACCGGCTGGATTCTATCCTCGGGCCCCAGGTTAAGAAACCCTTTACGTCAAACTTCCTTTGACCTGCAATCATGTTGCTTTAAATGGGGGTCTGCTATCAGGGCGGCCGGGAAACCCAGCGGCCATCGCTTGCCTTCAGTGAAGGAATACTAGTTACAGGGACATCGAACCCATTCTGATACGCCGCCGGCTGCCGGCTGGAGACAGGCGCTGGCCTGAAGCTCTGAGTCTGAGGCCTGTGCTTCCTGCGTTTAAAAAGGGCGACAAGCCCGGCCAGTGTGGCTCAGTGGTTGGGCGTCGACCCATGAACCAAGAGGCCTCTGGTTCGATTCCTGGTCAGGGCATAAGCCTGGGTTGCAAGCTCAGTCCCCAGTAGGGACATGCAGGAGGCAGCCAATGGATGTCTCTCTCTCTCTCTCTCTCTCTCTTTTCCTCTCCCAAATAAATAAAAACATTTTTTTTTAAAGGGGAGAGGTTAGCCCGCAGCAGAGCGGGGTCAGGACATGTGGGCTGGGACTCCGCTGCTCTCTTGATAATAATGAAAACGTGTGTGCAGAGTGGGGAGCAGGGAGCGCCCACTTCCTCACAGGTGGGCCAGTGGAAGTCAGTGCTGAGGCCCTTAAATCTCCAGGTCATCCTTCCCTTATCCGGGGAAGCCAAGCCCGCCCTGGAGTCAGACAGGGTGTTCATTCTGGCTTCCCCGGCTTCCAGCCAGGGGACTCTGGGTGGGTGACCGAGCCTCAGTTTTCTCACAGTAAAATGGGGATAAGAGCAACGCCTCTTCTTGGGGCGGGAGTTGGGATCCCATGAGATCAGCCCGTGCACTTAGCACATGCGGGTACACGGCAGGCAAGCTGGGAGGACGACCTGCTGGGCTGGGGGACCCCCGGCCATGCTTTCCCCCCGAAGGTCTCTGCTCACAGGTCTCCTGGAAGGGATACTGGCCAAGACCACCCCTCCCCAGACACCCCCTAAGCCCCTGTGCATGAGCTGCACAGGCCTCCTCCCAGGGCCCCCGGGGTCCAGGACAGATGCTCCAGGGACCGCTAGCGCCCCTCCAGGAGTGACCAGAGAAGTGCATTAGGCGCTCAGCCGTTTTGGCCA